ACTCTCACAAAGAGAATGTGCACAGTGACCCCGAGGCGTGCTTCTGCCCGTCGGCCTACATCCTCACCAGTCTGGCTGTTACTGTGATCATGTTCGACCCCATGGACAAAGGCTGTCGGATGGTCGCGCTTCCATGTAGCCTATGACGTCTCGTGAACCCCTCCATTGCTAGGCACCCGGCGTGTCCTTGAAGAGCAGTCTCTGTACTCTACCCTGTACACACACTCACTCTCTTCTTTCATTCTCTCTTCCTCTCTCACTCTCTCACTCCCTCTCTCTACATTTACACATGCATAGTGTAGTACACGCCAATAAGCCTCTACACCTGCTATATCGAGATGAGCCCAGCAAAATTGGCGCATCGCTGAATGGCGCCGGTGGCACTGGCACTGTCCATGTCGGAACATTCACGAGCGACATGCTATATTTGCTACCGGCAGAGCGGAAATACGGCCATTGACCTTCCGGATCCCGCCGAGCATGAACGGCTCACCAGCTGCTCACTGTCAGTGTATCGAAGCATTGGGCCTCCTTCGGTAGCATGAAACATTGTGCTCTCGACACAACCGTCTGAGTAAGACCACGTTAGTACTCCCACTACCGGCGGTACTGGTACCGGTAGGTGCTAGCTATGTACCTGCTCCACCTCGTCTACGTGATACGTAACGTCCACTACCCCAGCAAATGCTGTGCGTTAAATCTATTATGATCCTGTGTAGTGTATACACCAAAAGCGATTTGGTAATCGAATACTTAGGTGACGGTTGGGCTGTCAGTCCTAACCAAAGTAGTGATCGTCACACACCATGGCCCTGTGTACAATTGTCTGGCAGGCATTGGCTATGTTAAAGGACTTCAGCGTTGCTACTCGATCAGCTAGCCGAGTATACCAAACTCAGTATCACAGTTTGACGGCGATGATAGGATTGACAAGGAGGCTTGTCAACTGATGGGATGAGAGCCTCTTCTGAGTCTTTTCACTATTTAGTTGTCCTTGGCACGGCTTGTACAGGGCCCATCAGGCCCTTCAGCCATGGTCACAATTTCATTGTATACATGGGTGAGAAGTGTCTTAGAGTACTTTATTGATTAATGCCGATTACTTCATTCCAATTGAGTAGGCCTCACCCACCTGATGCCCGGACCGCTGTTCGTCTGGGCAAGATGCCAAGATCTCCATCTTCCAAGGTTGCACCCGTGGACCGAAGCTGTTCACACTTAGTGCAGCTACTCTGGTAGGTACTCAGCCAACCGGCAGCAACCGCAATGCACCACTCAAAGGGCTCTGGCAACATCATACAACCCCATCTATCCTGTTTCGTGCTACTTGTACAATATGTAATCACTAAGATCCATGACCAATGGACCAATGCAACCATCCATGCTCCTTGAGACAAGAGTCTCATTCTGACTTTGAATTCACGTCCGAACTCTCAACTCTGATTCGTCGCCTCCTTCCATCTTTCCATTTTCGCTCGAGCCTTCTCTTCACTATTGACCCACCACCACGTACTCCAAGGAGTTTCGTTCCAGAATTTCTGGAAAATATTGCGAAGAAATGATCTGCCCAACTCAGAATCCCGAACTACCTTCTCAAAGAAATAAAGTTGCGAATAGTCTTGGACATCGTACCGGTACAATTGTGATGGTGCACTTGTGCCGAGAACTTGTACTCTCCGACTGTATCGTGACTGGAGGTAGGATGAACGTAAGATGAGTGACAGATGAGCCTGGACTCTTCGATTCAAGGATTGATGTTGGCTCACCATCGGAATACCTGCAGGGAAAGCCAAGTTGGCGGATGGACGCATCCAATTTTCAGAGCTGTACCGTATGGTAAGGTCATCCGCGGGTAGGGATCATTGCGCGACGTCTCCGAGCGAATCATCAGGTCGATGATATCTGGCGGTTGCATGTACGTTTGACTGGCAACCAAGAAAGCTTGCAATGATCTAGCTGCTGTCAGATTACTTTGCCTGGAGCCGAGTATCATACCTCTCTTCGGGACCAACGTCTGCTAAAGCTTGTCGCACTTACCTTGCAGAGTACAACGCAACATCGCTGAAATTCGTCAATAATGTTAGTGGAAGCTTAGAAGAATTCTCGATCTGCCAGAAACCACCATACAATGACAATAAATGGTGATACAGAAAACGAAAAACTGCAAGTCGATCAAGATCGTCAAGCATAGCATTGTGAACCGAGTTTTCAAGCTGTGCTCTGCAGCGCTGCAGTACTTCTACCTGTACATGGAACGTGACTGGATACTCAAAGCTTGTCAAGACCCAACGTATCTCGTTCAAAGTCCATACATACACGATAGCCGCATGGAATCGGCCACGCTGATCGGCATTGAGTTCCACGCAGATGTGGGTTTGGGCTGTCTGCTCATTGCGCGAGAGGCTTCCTGTATCTCGGGAGTCCTCAGCGAGGTGTATAATCACTCGATGAGCGTCTATGAAATCATCTGGACTGGAAGTGGTGTCGGCTGAGAGAAAGTCAGGACTCAGAAGCTGCCTTCCGAGCCACCTGTCCTCGATCAAGCGTAGACCCTCGTATCTGGCAAGGATGTCGTAGATCATCTCGTCCGAAAGGCATTTCCAATCGTTTATTCCATCCATACTGGTAGCATCAATCAATGCTTGCTCTCATTTGTTGATGGCAGTGGTACCGCCCCATGGTTGCACCAATGTTGTTGGAAGCTGGTAGTGATCATGTGCGAAGTGTTCAACAACCTCCTGGTGGAGACGCAACATCTTGCAAAGCTGACAGTCAAATATATGCTGGAAACTATGCTGGATGATTGTGCGTATGATCGAGAGATAAGTTCTCTGGCGCCGTAGCACGTTGTGCGTCTGCCTCTACACACGCCCCAAGTGATGGACATCATCGATGCTATTGAGGTGGCAGTAGATACATTCTAGGATCTCTATGGGAAGATCACTTCGTATTGCCATGGAGGATATTAATATTGGAGAGTTTATCATGCACCAGGACGCGCACCGAGGACGCGTTGGGCGCAAGTAAATGGGTACAAGGGAAGTAGCCATGATAAGACAACCTTTGTGCCCAGTTATAGTTATGATGATTGAAAAGAATTTTCTTTATTGTGCATTGAAGTGTATGGGGTTCGAAGAATCTCTCACCGAGTAAGAGATCTGTATGGCAGTCGTAGAACGTTTGTATCTCATGCACCGTTCACCTGGTGGACAGAGGTGCTACCTACCGGTATCGATTAGCACGTGCTGTTGCCTACCGCTAATGTGGCTGTCAATGCAGCCAACGAATGCACATGGCAGATTCATACTTCGATTGCACAGTGTAAAAAACCGCCCATAGACGAGCATTCTGACAGTAAGAAGTCGTTACCAGAGATGGTACTTTGAATCAGGGAGAACGTTAATAGGAAGCTTGAGCCTAGTGATCAACTCGCGAAAGCTCCGATTGGCCAAGTTGAAACAGGCTTGGCGCTCCCTCTTCACTCACTTCCGCAATGTCTCCGCAGCCAAGCGGACCTCACGTCTCGCGTACGCGCACGCGCATCAACCCTCACCCTCCGAATATATAGCACAACCATGTCAGACAGCATCAACCAACCTCCAGATGCAGTGATGGAGGTGAATGAAGATCTAGACGCCACGGTGGAGGACGAAATCAACCATGATGTGCCGCAAGCTGATGCCATGAACCTGGACGGCGCAACGGACGCAGAGCCGACCGCGGTAAACGGTGTCACAGACGAGGCGGTCACCTTCGAAGCACGCATACCAGCGAAGAAGGATGCCACGCTGCGGGAATTTCTGGGCAAGATGGACGAATATGCTCCCATCGTGAGTAATCCCCCCGTGTCGCAGAAAGCTGGCATGCACTGACGGCCAGAGTAGATACCTGATGCCGTTACGAATTACTACCTGACGCGCGCCGGGCTGCCACCGCCTCCCCAGACGTCTCCTCATTTAGCTCGTCTTCTTGCACTGGCAACTCAAAAGTTCATTGCGGATATTGCTGCCGATGCGTATCAGTTTTCGAGGATCCGGTCTTCCAATACTACAAGCAACAATCCCATGGGCGGATTAGGAGGTACGAGTGGACCGCCTGGTGCAGCAGTACCTGGTGGTCCCCAGGGCGGGAAGGATAGCGGATCCAAGGCCAAAGACTACAACCTTGGGATCCAACGACCAGGTTATGGTGGCGGTGGCCAGGGGGGCAGTCAAGGTCGAACAGTCCTGACCATGGAAGATCTCGGAATGGCCGTCGGTGATTATGGCGTAAATATCAAGCGGGGCGAGTTCTATCGGTGAAGCGCTTTTGAGCATCCGATGAAAACACCGGCATTAGCATCAGGTATGCCTAGCTAGTACCATGCAAGCTGCAAAATCTGGCCTGCTGGTGTCTGCACAAAATGCTTTCAAGGCGTTGGAGGAGTCAGGCGTATCGACATAATCACATCATCATCGAGTAGATCGCCGACAAGATCTGGGAGGATTGTCTGTTTCTAGCTCCTGAATTACCATAAATGATACCCCGACTCCCTAACACATGCACATGCGACCCATACTCTATTTGTTCTTCGTCTGCTTGTATGTAAATTGCTTTCTCGTTCTACAATTGCAACATTAGAATAGTAAACATACTTTTAGCATGCAATGACACGAGGAAAAACGTACGGTGCAAATTCGCCAAGCTTGTGTCCGACCATATCTTCAGTTATGGTCAAGTCCAGGTAGTTCTTCCCATTGTGGATCTGAAACTTCAGGCCGACGAAGTTTGGTAAGATGGTGGCAGACCGCGCCTGTGTCTTGATGGGTGGTACTCGCTCACCCGCTTTCCTTTGCACGATGGGTAGGCTAACGAGCCATTAGTGGAGGTTGGGCAATACCTCGGAGAAGTTGACCTACGGGACGATATTGGGGCCTGTGCCGACAAATTAGCATATGTAAACTTGGACAACATATGAGCTGCTCAAGCAGTTTGCAGACTTGCCTTTCCAGACCGATCGGGCGCACAGCGCTCGTGTGGGCAACATTGCGAGTACCGTCGTGAAAGGATGAGGTCGGCGAATGTTTTCAGGATTCCGATGTTGAAAATTCAGTCACGTGACAACGCGGAGAAGACTAATGGGTTGGGCGGGGACGCGTCACGATATGCAAATGACCGCTGGTAACAAGCGGGTGGCTTGCAAAGTCACTGTCTACCCCAGTCCCACGTCCCTTACGCAATAGTAAAAGCTAGATGCAAGCATCTTGTCCTGTCACATCGGAATAAATTGCTCTCTCCTGCCATGCCGCCCCGAGCACGCGGTCCCCAGCGAGGTCTGCGCTTGATAAGATATGTCAAGTCAAGTATGTTAACAGTAACACTAGGCGCCGACACTATCCGGATTCTCATTGCCACCGACAGTCATGTTGGCTATAACGAACGCGATGCAGAACGTAAAGATGACAGCTGGAAGACATTTCACGAGGTCATGTGCCTTGCAAAGGAACACGACGTTGACATGGTACTACATGCTGGAGATCTCTTCCATGAGAACAAGCCGTCACGAAAGTCTATGTACCAGGTCATGCGATCGCTGCGCATGAACTGCTTAGGAGAGAAGCCATGCGAGCTTGAGATGCTGAGTGATGCGAGCGAGAACTTCGGTGGTATATTTGACCACGTCAATTACGAAGACGAAGATATTAATATTGCCATTCCGGTTTTTGCGATTCATGGTAATCATGATGATCCCTCTGGGGAAGGCTCTTACTCTCCACTCGATCTATTACAGGCATCTGGATTTGTCAACTATTTTGGTCGCACACCCGAGGTCGATAAGATTGCCGTCAAGCCAGTGCTCTTGCAGAAGGGCGGCACGAAGTTAGCTCTATATGGTCTCAGCAATGTTCGCGATGAGCGTTTGTTTCATACATGGCGCGATGGTAACGTCAAGTTCTTCCAGCCGGGTACTCAAAAAGATGAATGGTTTAATCTTATGAGCGTTCACCAAAATCACCACGCGCATAGCCCGACTAGCTATCTTCCCGAAAATTTCCTTCCTGATTTCATGGATCTTGTTGTATGGGGTCATGAGCATGAGTGCTTGATAGATCCCCGATACAACCCTGAGATGGGGTTTCATGTTATGCAGCCTGGATCGTCAGTGGCAACATCTTTGATGCCCGGCGAGGCAGTCCCAAAACACGTTGCTATATTAAGCGTCACAGGGAAAGAGTTCACAACTGAAAATATACGTCTGAAAACAGTGCGGCCATTCATCATGAAGGAAATTGTCCTGGCTGAAGAGAAGGAGATCAAAGATAAAGAGATTTGGCGTATCACTGACAACCGCCCCAAGATCACTCAATATTTAAATCAGGTCATTGAGGATCTGATAGAGGAAGCAAAAAGGGATTGGCTAGAATTACAGGTCGATCGCGAAGAAGGCGACGATCTCGAAGTGCCATTACCTCTCGTCCGCTTGCGTGTCGAGTACACAGCTCCTCAGCCTGGAGAGTTTCATTGTGAGAATCCGCAGCGTATCTCGAATCGATTCATGGGTAAAGTTGCAAATGTGAACGATGTCGTACAGTTTCACCGGAAGAAGAAGATAGTCAATCGTAAGTCATTCATATTTCATTGTGCTAACAATGCTAATGGACGTAGGCGCCCTGAAAAATAAGACTGAAATGCCTGACGAGCAGATGTTGGCCGAACTAACCATAGACTCGGTGAAAGTCGATGAGTTGGTAAAAGAGTTCCTTACTGCACAGACATTGACCATATTACCGCAAAATTCGTTTGGAGATGCAGTCACACAATTTGTGGAAAAAGACGACAAGCATGCGATGGAATTGTTCGTCAAGGACAGTCTTAACAGTCAACTAAAGCATCTCATGGATGCCAATGAGATTGATGAAGAAGAAATCATCAACGAGATGGACCAGTACCGATCGCAACTAGAGACGCTTTTTGCATGCGGACAGTTTAAGAAGACCCGTAAAGCCAAGCTCAAGCCTAAGCCAGATGGCTGGGATAGCGATTTCGACGGCTCATGGGCCGAACAACCCGCAGCCCTCGTTCGTTCCGATAGTGAGGGAGGCAAGGATGACAACGAGGGTCCTGCTGCGCTGCCATCCAAACTGGCTGCACCGCGAGGCCGGGGAAAAGCAGCAGGTACAGCACGTCAGACAAAGGCAGCTCCGAAGAAGGCGGCTCCGGCAGCGAAAGTCAGCCGAGGGAAGAAGAGGGTGGTCGAAGAAGAAGAGGACGACGACGATGGCGAAGACGATGTAGTGATGATCAGTGATGACGACGAAGAGAGTGCGGAAGATTTGTTTGTTAGATCGAGTAGGAAAGCAGCGCCTGCAAGGAAGGCTACCGCAAAAGCACCAGCACGAGCCAAATCGCCTACCAAGAAGACTTTCACTTCTCGCGCAAGGGCGCCACCTGCAGCTAAACAATCCAAATTGAACTTTTCTCAAACACCCGCTCCGCGCAATCAGCCCACGCGGCCCGCGGCGTCACGGGGCAAGAAGGGTGTTGAGCCGGTAAGTAACAATGTGCTGCAGATGTAATGAAATATCTAACACCCTCCTCAAGAGCGACGACGAAATTTCTGATGATGATGCGTTTGATCCGCCTGCATCCACAGCTCGAGGCACCCGTATCAGCAGAAGATGATGTACGATGGACAGGGCGCAGACTGTGCAGATCAATTTGTTGAGGTCAATACATGTTCATGCCTGCCATGAACTTCTTGGGCAACATCTGCTTTAGAGTCTAGTAAGCTAGTTAGCCAATACCATATGTACACAGCATGGGTGACGAAAAAAATGTAATGCCACAAGCACTATGTGAAGCTGTAGAACTCTGAGCAGCTTTGCGGTGGCCATCCTCATATCTCGGTCCAGGCTCCGTCATCCCGTCCGCTTCTAACAGATGCATCGTACGCTGGCGTATTTCCTTTGTAAAAACAGCATCTCTCCATCCATGTAATACGTATATTTCCCCATCCAAGCTATGAGATGCAATATGTGTTGTGTGTGTCTTTCGGAGGGAGTCCAACTATGAGGCAACAGCGTATTGCCACATCGCGATTGCCACCACTCCCTGATTTCACTCTTTGTCTATCCTCTAATGTCGTCCCTACCTTCCTTGATGTTGGATCTTGGCTCCTACTTGCTAGGGAGGCGCATCCGGATACAGGCTATAACTATCATCGGCCCAGTGATCTCCATTGTCTTCCCAACACACTCATTGGTCTCCATCTTCTTGTTCGATTCCGTCTTCTTTCGCATTGCTGCTCTTTGGCTTCTTGGATAGCCGCCACTCGTTTGTTGTTCACAGTTCACTTCCCAACGGACAGCTTTGAGGTATGTCAATTTACGTGCTTTGTCTGCATTAGCTGCTTCACGTCTCGACCGTAGAATCGGATCTTAGAGCATGGTTAACAGGCCTAGGATATTTGCATCAAACCATCTCAACTCACATCACTGGCAAGCATTGGGCCACTGCATCCTAGGTACCGACGCTTGTCTAGGTTGACGAGTGGTTGCCTACATTGCCATCCTCGGGTGACGGACTACCCGCGATGTCTCTCGCCTACAAAGTGGAGGAGTTGCTTGCACTCCGCGATTCGGTGTCGGAATCAGCAGTGTCAATAGATAAGTTTGCGGATGAGGACGTGATCAAAGGTTAGTGGCTTCCTTTAAGACGCTTATTCTCTGTTCACGGTTCACGGTTCACTGTTCACCTCATGAGGCCGGCTGTGCTACACAGTGAGGCCAACCTTGGCTACCTTCTCCAACTTTATTATTACCTCCTCTTCAGCTTTAATCTACAGATCATGCTGACACAGTCGCCCTATAGAGCACGTTCTACGCCCTTCTGCTTCTGCTTCCGCGAACCTTGCCCGTCGAGCTTCGAACCTTAGCCTCTGTCCTCCAACTGCAGTTGGACCTACCCAAGCGGCCCCTCTGAAGAAACCCTCCCCATCGCCCTCTTTCAAGCGTGGCAAGGCAGAAAAGCTACTCAAAGAACACGGTAGTCCACCTGGTCTGCGAGTGACTGCTGGTGGTCGCATCGTCCCAAGCGATCTACCACCGCTAGGCAGCTCTCAGTACGGTGACGCAACATATCGGTCACACCTTTTGCGGGCTACTTCAGGCAACGTGATGGCAACAAATCAGCAATCGAATGGCAACAGTACCGCTCGTATAGAGATCATCGGAGGTCAGCCTGTTGTATTCGTTGGTGACCGCATGTTCGCACTACCGGCGGTCAATACAATCAATCCCACGACAGAACCCTCTCTTATCACACCAACCATAGAGACTTCGACGAAACAAATGTCAGACCTTGAAAATCTCACTGTCCATAGCGCTCCTCCTGGGGTGGCATTTGGCCCTTCGCGTGCCAGTTCACAATCACCGTTTGTAGGCCTAGATCTCACAACGCTCAAGGCTCAGCAGGCGCTCAAGAAACAAGAGCTTCGAACTGTCGAGCAAACAGAAGTATTGCAGGCTAGTCAGCAGACCGATTCCTGGCGCGCAGGTATGATCGAAAAGAAGCGTTGTCTGATCGTCGAGCTCGATGCTCTTCGCAAGCAGATCACGTCTTTGGAAGTGGATAACAGTGCAAGTGCTCAGCCAGGCTCATTTTCTGGGCCAACTGGCACAGGACCAGCACCTTTCACGCCGCAGTTTGCGCAATCTCTTCCTCGAAACTTGTACGGCTTCCCTTCTGCCAATCCCTACGCGCCCATGATGATGTACCAGCCGCCTTCATTTGGAAGCTTTCCTCCCTTCCCAGCCGCAGAACCAACACCATTCGTGCCCGTCACCGCACCAAATCCTCCTCACTCTCCAGCTTCAGCGAGTCGCCGCTCTCATGCCATCGAGATCAAACCACCTCGTGAGGAGACTGGGAAGCAACTGGGATCTGCTCTTGACCCAAAGAGTCCGACTTATGAGCCAGCTTTCAAGTCCAACGTCACCGACAGTGTTGTTCCTCCGACTCCTTCGCCACCAAAGAAGTCACCATGGCGACTTGGAGAGGCTTCAGAGCGTGCCCAACACTCACGTCGCGACCCTTCGCAAAAACTCAGCTTATCTAGCATCGATACTACAGATTTCTTCCCAACAAACACACACGAACATTCTTCAACGCGTGTGGCGCCACGAGTCAGTTCTACTTCCCATGGAGATCCTGCAGTACCCTCTACGCCCGAAAAACACTGGCCAGCCAGTCCTTGGAATGGAGGCAACTCAGGCCGTTCGAGGCATGAGGAGCCAGCACCCAAGCTGACATCATGGCCAGAGGCTTTCGGCAGGCAATCTTCATTGTCAACGCTGCGAAACAGTACGACTGGGTCTCATGCAGTGGTCGTCCCTCATGAGCGAGCTCATATTCCAGCCGCAACGGCCTTTGGCTCTACACCATGTCAGTCTGTTCCACTGAGGACGAAGTCTGAGCAGCGCACCGGCACGGATGAGAACTGGGCATTTTCCACCAAAGCGGCGGCGCATGTACCATCTACATACCAGGAAGGATATCAGGCCGGCTACGATCACGTCGGCATGCCTGATGGTCCCGAGTTCCTGCAAGGTTACATCCAAGGCCTCCTCCACTTCTTGTCGGACGAAGCCAAAAGGCGTCAAATTGAGCTTTCTGCACGCAACGTTTACGTGCAAGGCACAGAATCGCGAGCGCCATCACTCCGCGGTCTCGTCGCCGGCTCTACTCCACACGACCCTGCTGTCGATGTGACGTGCAATCGCAGCAACATGGCAAACAACAGCCAAGAGAACGTACGCTCAGCCAACGGAACTGTTTCGACTGATATCCGACGCGACTCGATGTACAATGCGAAGGCTAGAGACGAATCCTCGGCATACATGCTTCGTAGTGAGTTGAACCTGGACACTCGCTCGAGAGTCCCCTCGGTGGCCAAATATCCCAATCCAGCAGGACTGTTTCCTGAGAGGAGCCTAGTAGGCCACCAGCAGAACACATTCACTTTAACTGAGAATGGTAAAAGCAAAGCAAGTTCGGAGATGTGTCTTCCGTTGCGCAATCACCTCAGCTCCCAAGATGGTGTCCTCCAGCAAACTTTTGTCAACCAGGTACAGAACCGAGAGTACATGACACCACTGACTCACCAGCGTTTCTATCCAACGCCCAAGGAAATGAGCCCTACGACCTTTAATGGCGATCATGCGTCTTCGATGCGGCCTCTGGCTGACCACCGCTTCTCCGGACTGGATGGAGCCATGGACGATTTGGCGGACTTGGCTCTTGACGCAGATGGTGTTGATGGATGCCCGTCGTTTGATATACGGGCGAATACAGAGGGTAGGCCTGGAGAAGTTGAGGAGGTGAATGCGTCCTGCTTCAAGCCGTCTGGCGGGAAGGCTAAGCAAAAGGTAACGTCTCCGGCTGGCAAAGCAACTGCGACGGGATCCAAGTCGGCCTCGTCGCCCATGGGTGCTCCTAGCTCGCCCCGGAAGTCTGGAGAGCACTCACCGGCCAAAGCGAAGCTTGAGCAAGTGACGAACAAGTTCCGCCGTGTTAAGAAGGATGACCCCCGCGCCCTGTCTCCTGAAGACAGGATGAGGCGGTCAGAGAAGTGGCGACTGCGCTTCCAGCAGCTCAAGAAGGCGGAGATTGAGGAGATTGAGGAGCACCGGAAGAACACAGGCAGTTGAAGGAAGTAGGAAGGGATGCTTCTTTTCTTTGGTTGGAGTGCCTTGGTCCCTTGGCAGAGAGGAGGACTTCTGAGCAGCTCTATGGTAACAGAATAGTATGGCATACAACAGATTGGCAGAGGGAGAACATCAGCGACGGGCGGGCAGCAGTAATGGAGAGGGCATGGTGTTGGACATTTTCCTACTTTGTATTTTTTTTTCCCTTAAGAGGCATATATTGATTTGCAGATGTAGGGTCATGCAAGTGGATGGATTAGGATGACGGTATTTTCACTATGGCTTCAGGGAGGGGACATGTTTAGAGGGACGATATGATCAGCGATGGTATAGAGTAAATGAAGAAGAAGAGAAGATGTCTCCCAAAGCAGGACTCTGACGATTGGTGAGGGTGAGGGAAATGTTGAAGTGGAAAGTAGTAGCAGGGGTGGGGACTTGGCGGTAGGTATCGGTCGTTTCTACCTACCGCAATTGCCAGAATCCAGTATTCCGTGTTCGAGAAGAGGCATGGAACACGGGTCGGGGGAGTTTGGCAAGAGCTTCCGACATGACATGACCCCTTTTGGAAGTCTCTCTCTCTCTCTCTCTCTCTCTCTCTCTCTCTTTTTCTCTCTTTTTCTCTCTGCAGGGCAAGGACAAGGGCAAGGACAAGGACAAGGGTAGGTGGCGCACTGTTAGACTAGAGTATGTAGAGTAGGGGCGACTCGCCCTGAAGATGACGGTGCCTGTCTCGGTGTTGCTGATAAATCGACAGACGGGTATTGTGGTGGGGACCTACTGTGTATGGACTACGTATGTAGGTACATGGTGCATGTCTGGTGTACCGCAGGCGGCGCAGGCGGTAAACGTCGCGCTACCTTATCTCGTTACAATAGGGACAGTACGTACTGTCGGTCTGGTGGTATGAGGTACTGTACCTACCTAGTACTGTTGGCTAGCCAGCATTTGAATGAGGCGCAGGGCACGGCGCGGCACAGCACGGCACAGCACAGCACACGGCACGGCGGGAAGGGGCACCGTCCTGGACAGAGGTACAGTATGTCATGTGCATAGGATACGGGTAAGGTGAGGTGTGTAGGTAGGCAATATGGCGTGTGCACTCATGAACCAGCAAAGTACTGTGAACGTGCTGCTTGTTGACGTGGTGGAGCCCTTGTGATGTAGGTAGCCTGATGATGTACCGGTACCACCGTGCATGGTCGTGCTACTGTACTGTACTGTACTGTACTGTACTGTACTGTACTTTATATGAACTGCCCGATGCGCTGACTGTACAGGTAGAATACTGGACATGCATAGTGCGTAGTGCATGGTAGGCTACCACGTATGTCATGGTACAAGTCAAGGGCCTACCGGTAGAGGCCAGGGTGGGTGCCACTGCCCAGAAGTCGTCGTACCCTGCAAGTGCAAGTGCAAGTGCAAGTGCAAGTGCAAGTGCAAGTGCAAGTGTGTACGTACTTTCCTTCCTTGGCTGGCCTCTCTTGTCATTCATTCTACCTGCCTTCTACCGGTACTGGGTGGTACTTCTTACTCTCTGCTCTACTCTACTCTGCTCTACTCTGCTCTACTCTACTCTACTTGCACCCACACACCCAACCCACCACTCACCACAGCTGGCCCATCTTCCTTCCACCTCGGACTGTACCGGTACTGCATCCATCCTACTGCATCCCTCGTCGCATTCCTCTCCCTCTCTCTTTCCACCCCATCACCATCACCATCACCATTCCCATTCCTATTCCTATTCCTATTCCCAATCCCCCCCCCCATCCTCCATCTCCCTCCTGTCCGCTCTTTTGCCTGTCCCCTCTGTCCCGCCTACCCTCCTGCCTTGACCTGCTGTTGTTCCCTTCCTGTTGCACATCCCTCCCTTCCCCCCGCCCCCCAAGCAGCCACCTCCCGCGGGCGCTCTAACCACAACCGACCACGGCGACCCTGCACATCGAAACATAATCTAGTACCTACCTACCTACCTACCTACCTGTACGGCCATGGCCCAGTAGTGATTGTACACCAGTTCACCCATCACCCACCACCAACCCACCCGCACGCCATCCCTCTCTCCTGCTGCCATTATTTGCCGCGTCGACGCACACGTGACGCTGCTCACCTTGGCTTGACCAGCATCCATCCTCGTGCAACGGCCATGACGCAGCTCTTCAGCTCATCCACCTCCAGCCACTCCACCATGACGGAAAAGCGGACTTTTTCCGGTACTCCGCTTTCCACCAACAAGGCGGCCAACACCAAGGACAGTCAGGTCTCGCAGCGTATCAAGAACTTCTTCCGCATCAGCAGCAGCGGCGACACCCGCAAGCATTCCAACGAAGACCACGGCACCTCGGCCTCGGCTCCCAAGAACGAAAAGTCGGGCTTCCGCCAGTCGCGCTTCATCCCTCACATCTCCCGTAACCGCTCCCATACCGTCGCCAGCGAAGGGAACCCGCTCGACGATGCCTCGCCCACAGCGCATGCCAATCCCTACTTTGCCCACCAAGGGCCCCCGGCCCTCCGCCATCACAACGAGGGAAGCGTCCCCCCCTCACCGCCCGATACCCCGTCAATAACGACGACCAAGGTGGATGGTGATACAGCGCCGGACGACCATGCCACCACGGCTGGCAAGGAGGAATTGGCCAGGAAGCTGCGAAGAGTAGCCTCTGCCCCCAATGCCCAAGGCCTGTTCGCGTCGGGAAAGGCGGATGGAAGACCCCAGACGGCCGAGCTTGGCAAGCAGCCTCTGGTGCACCACCCCAACTCGTCGACGCTGAGCATGGTCGAGACGACCGACCAAGATCCCGAACATCTCTCTCCGCTCGAGACGGGCCAGCCAATACCAAGCCCCGGCCAGATTCGCCAATCCGTCGCCTTCAGGAGGACATACAGCTCCAACTCGATCAAGGTTCGCAACGTAGAAGTAGGGCCCGGGAGCTTTGACAAGATCAAGCTCATTGGAAAGGGAGATGTCGGAAAGGTCTACCTAGTCCGTGAGAAGAAGTCGAGCAGGCTATACGCCATGAAAGGTAAGGACAATCGGATGCCGACCTCGTGATGAGGCTAATGGAAATGTGCCACCAGTGCTGAGCAAGAAGGAGATGATCAAGCGAAACAAGATCAAGCGTGCCTTGGCCGAGCAGGAGATCCTGGCCACCAGCAACCACCCCTTTATCGTTACCCTATACCACTCCTTTCAATCCGAAGATCACCTCTACCTCTGCATGGAATATTGCAGTGGCGGTGAATTCTTCAGAGCGCTGCAGACACGGCCAAACAAGTGCGTCGATGAGGATGCGGCACGCTTCTACGCTGCAGAAGTCACGGCTGCTTTGGAGTACCTGCATCTGATGGGCTTCATCTATCGAGACTTGAAGCCAGAGAGTAGGCCGCTTGCCCAGTCCGCCAACGGGACGTCACTAACATATTCGCAGATATCCTATTGCACCAGTCTGGCCACATCATGCTGTCGGACTTTGATCTTTCAAAACAATCCGAGCCTGGCGGCCGCCCTACCATGATTCTCAGCGGACGCAATGGAACCTCATCGAGCAATCTGCCGACAATCGACACCAAGTCTTGCATCAATAACTTTAGGACCAACTCATTCGTAGGAACAGAAGAGTACATTGCTCCCGAGGTCATCAAGGGATGCGGACATACCAGTGCGGTCGATTGGTGGACCCTTGGTATTCTGATCTACGAAATGCTTTACGGGACAACGCCCTTCAAGGGCAAGAATCGTAATGCAACCTTTGCCAACATCTTGCGGGACGAGGTGCCGTTTCCTGAAGGATCTGGCGCTCCAGCAGTATCCAAGTACGTTTTCCATCACACGAATGGGTACCGGGGAAATGAATGCTAATCAGGACAGTCTTTGTAAAGGCATCATTCGTAAACTCCTCATCAAGGACGAAACCCGTCGGCTCGGATCCCGTGCGGGTGCGTCCGACATCAAGACTGCGCCTTTCTTCCGCACCACATCCTGGGCTCTACTACGACACATGAAGCCACCGATTGTCCCACACCAAGGCCAAGGCATCGACACACCCAATTTCCGCAATGTCAAGGAGAGCCACAGTGTCGACATTGGAGCCGCAAGAGTCAAGGGCGTACCCCTGGATTCCGGTCTAGCAACACCCATGGGTGAGATTGCGGATCCTTTTGAAGAATTCAACAGTGTTACCTTGCATCACGACGGTGACGACCACCACCACCAAAGCAATGACCATGGCACGAATTCGCATCGATAGAACATGGGTTGCGTTGTAAATTTTTCCCCATCTTCTGGCCAGTGTAAAAGCGCATGTTCTTAGCATTTTCCATCCATCCATCATTACGGGAGGCCTCTTTCTAACTCTCGGCTCCACTCCTTTTGCTGCGGTCCTAGAAGACGCTCGGGTCGTTTCCTTATGACAGCGGAGTTTAGGTTCTTGATATTATCTTCATTCGCGCAGACTTTCACATACGCTCAGGCCACAGCAAACCATTTGCGTCTGGTGTAAAATCCATTACGCGCACGGTTAATATACAGCATTTCTTTTACTCTTTGTGGGTTTTCTTGGTGGGGGGTTGGGGATTTCATCCGGGTGAGGTGATGGAAGGATGAGGGAGGTAGCGTCTGAGGGCGGCGGCAGCTTGGGCAGTCTTGATTGTAGATGTGGAAATTCATTGGGACATGGGAATCAACAAGCAAGCCATGATTTCAGTCCTACAGAGCCAATTGCCCTCGTTCGTCGTATTTTGAATTGAAGGGATATGAAACCAACCTTCTGGGCTGCTGCTTGAAGCTCGGACCAGCGCGGGGAAGACGCGACGACCGATTCGTAGATGCACACGTTCTTGAGTGCTCACAAGCAGCCCTGATACGGCAACCATGAGAGCATTGACACTCGAGTCAATCGCTCACACAAGATATACTGTAGTAGTCGCACTGCTCGATGAACACATTTAAGCCGTCAGCCGCCAGACAGATTCGCCTCTCATCACACAACTACCCCAATCTGCTGCATTTACTTTCGAACGGCAAACGCTTCCTTGCACTTGACGCATCTCTGTCTCAGTGGTCGATACGGGTAAACACACACACCTCTTCTCTATACCGGTATACACACCGCACCGTTCCCTCTTTACACCCATACACAGACACGCACGAACGCACGCACGCACACGTACAAGCACACACATAAATACTACAAAATATGTCGTCGGAAACACCAACCCCACACCCTCTCTCCACCTCCCAGATCTCAGCGCCCAGCGGCGACCAGGACGAAGAGAGCCTTACCCCGCTCGAACAAGAAGTCTTGGACGAATATGCGAGATTACTAGACAACCTGAATACTGTATGTAATGACATGCTTCTTTCCCTCCCACCCCCCTTTTTTTTTTCATAACAACCAACAAATCGTATCCACCACATTGCTCTCTGACGATGCTCCAACTAGATGTCAACCTTGCTGCTCTCCCTCTCGAATGCGCCTAGTGCTGCGATACTCGATGGCTTGCGCGGGCTCGAGCGCAAAACGAGTCTGGTGTTTACCCTGCTCAAGGCGAGTGTGTATAGTATTGTGTTGAATCAGCAGATTAGTGATGCATCGGGGGGGAATGGGGAGGGGAGGGAGGATGAGGGATGAAGAAGAGTGTCAGGTTGTAAAAGGATTGGGATTGGAATTGGAATTGGATGGCGGTGCAAGTCAAACATGTGATACCCAAGAAGCCCCTTTTTTTTGGTCTGGCAACAGAAGACGAATACAGTGGGCAGATAGAGAGGTTGTGAAGAGCACGGGAAGAGGCTGCGTGTTGAAAGATGTTTATGATACAAGCTCTACATGATCAGATGATTCCCACACATTACATTTGTGCGTATGGGGATAGTACATGATAACGCGCGTCTTGCAGCCGTCCGTTTCGTATCTACACAACCAATGTGAATACGATGCTCAATGTATAGAGCCACCATAATACACCTTCCTCACATCCACCAGCTTCTTCCCTCTCGCTCTAGCAATCTCATCGGGTAACTTTTGACTTGTGAGAGCCTCCCACGTTGCCTTGATGACATTCATCTTGTTCCGCGAGCGGGGTGTTCTAGCAGCAAGATCTTGCAGGCCGGCGGCGCGGGCGAGTTCAAAGATGAGATGTTGGGTGCGGAGACCAAAGCCTAGTTCTGGGTCAGCCTATGGTCTCTCCCTAGGTAGCAAATGATGGAATTGGGCACGTACCAGGCGGCCTGGCAAACAATTGCACCTTGGTCGCGCCAATCTTCTTCTCCAAATTGCCAAATGTCGTTCGATTTTCGTAGCGCGGCACAGGCCTCATATTCCTAATCGCGCTCATGATGCTCTGTTTCCTCCCCTCTTCCGGCTCTACCGACTTGCCTTCCCCTACTCCGAGCAAACCGTTCTGGTTCCCTGCGATGGTCAGGTAGTACAGACTCCTAATCTTTCCCATGCGCGTTTGATTGGTCACACCGTGCACAACGAGTGTCTTGGTGCGGATACTCCGTAGCTTTGCCTTGTCCCAGCCGAGGTACTGCAAGAGGCGCTTTTGTCGTGGATCTTCCTCTTCTTCAGACGATAGACGACGCGTCTGGCGCACCATGCGATTCTCTATGCGGGGTAGGTCGGGCGCGACAATGGAGTGGCGGGGGTCGGCGAGGGCCTCGAGGACGGCGGGGTTCTTGGAGGTGAATGTGGCGCGGGGGTCAAGGGCGGCTTGGGAGAGGGCGGCTTCCATGGCCTCCTGGAGCTTCTTCTCCTCGACTGCGTCCAACGTGCCTTCGGGTATGCCATCGGGGTACATTTTGGCGAGGTTCTGCGTGGCAATTCGGGATATGGCGTCGTCCCGTTCCACCTCATTGGCGAGCCGGAAGGTCAGCTTGCCCGGTATGTCCTCGCCCATCAACTTCTCTGGACGGTCGGTGACGGGATCGACCTCATTCAGGTCGTCTTCGTAGTTGAGACGCCATGGATCCGTCCGGTTCTGGCCCTGAACGAGCACATCGCGCGCATCAATGGTCGCCTCTGCGGCTTTGATGGCCGCAATTTGCGCGGGCGTGTACTTCTTCTCCAGCAGCGCACTCTCCGCCGTGTCGAACTTGGGGTACTCAGCCTCGGCCGCCTGATTGAGCAGTTTGAGGTCTTCGGCCTTGATCGAGGGATAGTGCGGTCTTCTTCGGCGGGCCTGTTGGCGTGCCGAGGCGTGGAACGAGCGTTGCGGCGAAGGCGTCGTCGTGGGCAGCGTCGTGGCCGTGGCCTTGGTGAAGAGACAGCGTGCAGGGCGGCAGACGCTCATGGTCAATGCAGACATCGAATGGATGTCCGGGCGAGGTCCAATGGGCAGGGCACGAGCAACACAAGCAACACCGCCTGCACTCCAGCATGGGATACTGCTATGCTACTCTTACTCGGAGCACATCGTCGATGGATGGAGAGCCGAATTCGAAAATCAAGACGCTTGGACCACCTCCACTCCAACCAGGCTAACTAGATACCCAATGCAGTGACAGCGACTAGAACTCGACTAGACAGACTAAACCTGCACTTTTTCCCAATCTCGCTCCCTTCTGCATGTTCGCACGCACTTTGGCTCGCCAGCTTCGGACCACCAGCGTGACCGGCAGCAGTTATACCACCTTGCTAAGGTATACCATGGCCTCGTCGGTGGAGAAGACGCCGGCCAAGGGAAGCCATGGTGCGAAGCGAGTTGCCACAACACCGCTAAGGAGTGAGGAGGGATCACGGGGCAGCTACAGGTTCAAGAACAAGAGGATGAGAAATGGCCATGCGGAGACGAGCAAAATTTTGACAACAAACGGTACCAACGAGGAGATTTTGCTCAAGGATGTCACCGCACTGATCAAGAACATCAATTTGGAACGAGAAGGAGATGGCGAAAAGGAAACCTCTAAAGGACTTCCGGAGAGACTGTCTGAGATCGAGGTGGCCATTAAAGAGCTCTCATCCACCGGCGACGGACTGGGCTTCCAGCATGGCATCGACTCGGATCACGTCTACGTTGTCCCATTCGCCGTACCGGGAGACACCGTAACCGCCAAGGTCTTCAAGCACTTCGACAAGGAGGGATACTCCATGGCCGACTTTGTCAAAGTCTCCACGCCTTCGCCAGATCGCGATGCCAGTCTTGTCAAGTGTCCCTACTTCTCCAGCTGTTCAGGCTGCCAATTTCAAATGCTACCCTACGACTACCAACTCCAGCACAAAAAGTCAATTGTTGAGAAGGCCTACAAAAACTTTTCCAATCTACCCCCAGAGCTCATCCCAGCCATAGGCGACACCATTGGCTCCCCACTACAGTACGGCTACCGCACAAAACTCACCCCCCATTTCGACGGCCCCCCAGACGCTAGGAGAAGCGATGGCCGCAACGGCATCAAGCGCACCTTCAAAGAAGTGCCCCCGATTGGCTTCATGAAGAAAGGCACCCGGATCACCCTCGACATTGAAGACTGTCCGATTGGGACTGACGCCATCCGTGCTGGCAACAAGCGCGAACGAAGACGGGTAGCGGAAACCCTCTCCACCTACCAACGCGGTGCAACTATTCTCCTCAGAGAAAGCACCACCCGCATCGCAAAATCTGAATACGATAGCACCACTGAAAAAGATCCTGACGTCGTCATCGAAGACCGCGGAAACAATATTCTCCACCGAAAAGTTTGTGTTACAGAGCCCAACGCCAAAACGACAGAGTACGTCGACGACTTCCAATTTGTCAACCCGGCCAGCTCCTTCTTTCAAAACAACAATTCCATTCTCCCCATCTTTACCCAATATATTCGCGAGCACATACTCCCCTCTACCCCCAACCACAAAATCACTCACCTCATCGACGCATACTCTGGTTCAGGCCTCTTCACCATAACCCTATCTTCTTTGTTCAAATCTTCCTTGGGAATCGACATATCCACCTCTTCCATCGACTGCGCCACCACAAATGCAGAACTCAATAGCCTGCCCCCTTCGTCAACACGTTTCATCGCCGCAGACGCCGCAGCGTTGTTTGCGAGCATAAAGTCCCCGGCCGAGGAAACGGTTGTCATGATTGATCCCCCGCGAAAGGGATGCGATGAGTCGTTTTTGAGGCAGTTGGTGGAGTACGGCCCGGCAAGGGTCGTGTATGTGAGCTGTAATGTGCATACGCAAGCCAGGGATGTCGGGGTCTTGGTGGGTGGCATGGATGGTGTGGATGGTGGGTTTGGGAAGGGACAAGGGTGCTATGAGATGGAGAGTCTGAGGGGATTTGACTTTTTCCCGCAGACGGGGCATGTAGAGGGTGTGGCGGTTTTGAGGAGGAAGGAGAAAATGCAGGTCAAGGCTGAGGAGGCAAAAGAGTAGTACTATGGACTACCTATATTCCTTGGGAGAAATTTACCCATTGTAAAAGAGTAAAATGGACGACTTGACCTCACATTAATGAATTGAATGGACACGACGATCGATGCTCGATTTTGGGTTCAAGGAAAAATCTCGCTCACTCGACAGTCCATTTCAACATCTACTGTACCCACCACTCACTTCAAGCAACACTTTACGTACTACCCGGACCACCCAGTAACGCAAACCTCCGAACAATGCTGGGACCAATCTCATCGTACTCGGCCTTGGTGTGGCAGTAGCTCTTGAATTCGGGTGTCTGACCAAGTAAACTGCCACCAAACCACGGGCCATGCCTTTGCCTCTTGTGTGTGATGACCTGCACCTCCAATCCACCACTTTTTGCTCCTCCGCTTCTCGCTTCCGATGCCTTGATCCTCGCGTCCACCATGTGTCGGATATCGCGTTGTAGCCGTCGGCCAAAGTCCTTGTAAAGCGTGGATCCACCTGACAATACAATATTCTTGTACAGGCCTCTGCGTACGTCGATTGGCGAAGACTGGATGACATTATCCACGATGGTAGGCAGTGGTGTGAGAAAGTCTGACGAGTAGATTTCCGGGTTGAAAAAGATCTCGGGTGCTAAGAACCGCTCGTACCCGACGTCGACCGTTGTAGTCTTGCCGTTGGGATAATTGACCACATGTTTCTTGAAGCGGTCGTCCGATTCGCGGTCGAAGCGTGCGAACTCCTTTACAATGTCTGGGCACACGTAGCAGTATTCTTCCTTGATACGCTCAGCCGTCTGCAGAGACGAGTCGGGCTCGCCACGTTCGCGGAGGAGCGATTGAACAAAGTTGGTGATGTCGCGGCCTGCAATTGGGACACTCTTGATCGATGATCCAATAACATAACCTTCTGCAACAGGAATGACATGGGTGACACCTGCTCCCGAGTCTATGACAGTTCCGGTGAGGGAGCGGTCTTGAACCTTGGAACTGGTCCATGATGCAGCCAGGGCAAGAACAGCTTGTACAGCAATGTAGAGACCAGCGACATTGAATGATTCGAACATGATCTCAGCTGTCGCTTCACGGTTCTCCGGTGGGTTCAGTGGCTTGGATTTAGTCAGTACAGCGGCAGGACTTTTCTGTGAGCGTCGAACAAACCGGTTCGGTGAGTAAAAAGTGGTGGTCCTCGGGCTCCACTCGCAGGTACTTGAAGATTGAGTTTGACCAAAAGCGCTCCATAAGATCCTACAAGCTGTTAGTAGGCCTGAGAGCGACGAAACGTATCCTAGCATACCCAGTTGTCTATTTGGCCATGTCTAATAGGGTAGTTGATACCATAACCAGCTCCTCCAGCTGCGGCGAGGGCCTCATCACCAATGAAGAAGTCCAGGTCCTCCGTGCCTCGCTTTCCCGACAGGTGCCCACCAGGTCCAGCACCTCCCGTGAGATAGGAAGGCTTGTTCGCAACCGCAGGACGGCCGGACCCGGAGGAACCGCTGCCGCCTGTGGGTCCTCGTGTAGCGATTGCGGTGGGAAAGACGAAGGAGGGGGAGTCATTGCCGGCGAAACCTGGGTGTTCATCATCAGTCCAAGGCTCCGGCAGCTACAAGAATGAAAACACCATACCAAGCTTCGAGTAGCCCGTACCGCTAGTAGGCAGGCAGCGTCAGTACTCAATCGCAGTGTAGATGGCGGTCGGGCAGCTGGTAGCTTACTTGTCCATGACAACGGCGGGGGTTTGGGTCGCCATCCTTGCTGATGCTTACGAGGCGCTCGTGGGGTATACACAAGCTCCAATACGCGAGTGAGGAGAAGGACGGCGGCTGTGCGAGTGTTGATGTGTCGTTGTTGTTGTCGTCGTCGTCGTCAGTAGTGGGACAGTGGGACAGCGGAGGAGGATGGAGGGTGTGGGCTGTCCCTCGAATCAAACACCGCCCCGCTCCGCCCTTGGCGGCGGAAAATGACTTAGAACCTTGGCATAAGAAATGGTGGAGAACTAAGAACACTCCGTAACACCAATGCACGTGCATCCCCAGAGAGTCGACTTTCACTACAGTTGGCATGTTCTCAACTTGTACAGCACGTGAGGTATGTGAGAATCTTGGATATAAGTGGACAACTCGCGCTTTCCTCTTCTATTGACGTTCCTGCTGGTTTGGCTAGATCTAGTGTCATGCTCATGTGTGCTCTTGTTACATGTCCGACCAAGCTGGCCTTTGGCAGTTGCAGTCGTAGTCACAGAAGACAGAGGAAGGAGCCTCCCCTCCACCCTCTCTGCCTCCCTCTCTCTCTCTCTCTCTCCCGTCCTTTGCTCTCCTACCATTGGCGCCCAACGCGTGCCTCTCTTACTATCCTCAAACCTACACTGCACACTGAAGGCGCTCCTCCGCTCTCATCGCCCATAACATCAGGCCCAGGTCACTAGGTCCACTCACCGCCTGCTCGAGCGGAATTCATTCATTTGCCATTTTTCCTCTATTGACTCTCCTCATCTCTCCCGCCTCTCCTGCCTGACGATTCTCACCTTCTCGCCTCTAACTCACCTTACCCATTACTACACCTATGGAAACTGAACTCTGAGCCTCTCACTATTCACTCTACCAAACGCCCATTGACGGCAAACAATCCAACACCTGCTTGGTGCCTACGCCTCTAGACAGCGCTGCCGCAGATACTCCATCTTAGCATCGGGCACTGAGGCCAAGAGTCGCGAGATCTACGCTGGATACTATCGGCTCGCGCTTTCGCGACTTTCGCCGTCGCTTCTCCGACACTATCACCATGTCCATCTCAAGCCGCCAGGCCACCCTTACAGATGGTGCGTTTGCCGGTGACACATACACACGGAAGGCTTCGCGTAGTCCGCCAAACGAAGATATGTGCTGCATATACGTGCACGCAGGAGCAGGCTACCACAGTCACCAAAACGAGCGAATCCACTTGGAAGCATGCAATGAGTAAGAGCTTTCTGGAGAAACATTTCTGAATCCGGAAGCTAATCTGGTGGTTCGCAGTGCTGCTCAATTGGCCATGTTGATGTTGAAGAATGGAGGTACTGCACTGGATGCTGTTGAAGCTGCCATCAAGACACTAGAAGACCGGGAGATCACCAATGCTGGATATGGAAGCAATCTTGCCATGGACGGCGTCGTCGAATGCGATGCGTCCGTAGTCGACCACTTTGGACGCAGCGGTGCTGTAGGTGCTGTAGCTCGTAAGTCCTCTACCACCTGGTTTCAGGCTAGTTATTCTAATAGGATCATTCAGAGATCAAGAACCCCATCTCGCTCGCAAGGATGGTCCACGGTCATTCCATGAGCGCGCTAACATTGCGCCGCGTACCACCAAATCTCCTAGTAGGCCAGGGAGCAACTGACTTTGCAGTAGAAATGGGTATGCCTATCCTCCCACACGATGCATTAGTGTCGCCTGCTGCGAAGGAGCGCTGGATCCGATGGCGAGCAGATCTCAAAATAGCCGAACGTAAATCGAGAAAGGCTGGGAATCACCCATCCTGCTGGAAACTGCGAGATGACATGTCACCGTCGGATGAAGCAGCACGCGAGATGATGCGCGAAGATCACACCAAGAGCCTGTTGGAAGCTCGTCCTGACATCCTTTCCCCAAATAACTCAGATGAGCTACTGTATTACGACACAGGTGATGACTCTACTGTTACCACGGATCCTTCACTGCCATCATCAGAATCCTGGCCTGTTGATGAGCCGATAAAAGCTCCTGAAGCATTGAAACACTCCCTAGTCGCCAGCACAGTAGTTCCTCACACAGTCCCAGAGTCTTCTCAAAGTTCTTTTATCAACAGCTCACAGCAGGTACCCACAATCGGTCAATATGAGGGCTTCAGGCCAATGCCAGACCTATCACCAGCCCAAGGCATGGGAAATATGCGCACACAAGACGCGTATCGAGATACTATGCATGCCGAATCTGCACGCAAATCCTGGGCAGACGGCTCTGGTGAAGAATCCGATACCCCCACAGATGCAAATGCTGGCCAGTCGGGTTCCTGGAATGTTTCACTCAACACTGCTGTCGAGACTCCCTTACCAAGCACTCCCAAGCCCGAGACTTCAAAAATACCGACACCTCGTAGAACGACACTGCTGAGCCATGCTAGAGAAACAGCTCCATTGCTCCCGAGGCCTGCCGGACCCTGCCCTCTGCAGCCAGAAAAGGAAGATCACATCACTGACACCGTAGGCGCAATTGCAGTGGATGGCTGGGGTAATATCGCCTGTGGTGCATCATCAGGCGGCATTGGTATGAAGTATCGTGGTCGTGTTGGTCCAGCAGCTCTTGTTGGTGTCGGCGCTGCTGTCATACCTGTCGATCCTGATGATACCGAGCGTACGTGCGTCGCCACTGTAACAAGTGGAACAGGCGAGCACATGGCTACGACTATGGCTGCTACTGTATCTGCCGAGCGTCTATATCAAAGCGTGAAAAAGGGGCGTGGTGGAGAATACGTCGAAGTCACCGAAGACGAAGCTTTGAGGTCAATGATCGAGACTGAGTTCATGGGCAAGTACTTATTTTGCATATGTAGCTCGTCTACTAATAGGTTGAAGGTCATCCAAGCGTCAAATACAGCAACTCTGCCGGTGCGATTGGTATTTTAGGGGTAAAAAAAGTTCGTGCTGGCATGTTGCTGTTCTATGGTCACAATACCGACTCGTTTGCCATGGCATCCATGTCTTCAGAGGAAGACGCCCCCGTTTGCTCAATGTCACGAAGCAGTAGCAATGGCCAGATCGCACAAGGTGGACGCATGATATCAACCAGAAGGCACAAGAAACCGAAAGCAGCAGCTCGTCGATTATAAGCGGTCGTCTCGAAGTAGCGGAACTCCCCGAAAGTCTGACCTACTTGTCACTAGACGCCTCATCCATGACCCCTTGGACCTAATCGGCCTCTTCTTTTCCTGCATACTTGTTTACCCTCTCCATCTCACGGTGCTCGCCTTCGACTCATATGTGCATTAGTATACCTGACGAGCATGTATGGAAGTCACATACCACATGCGTGGCAATTTGAGCGTTGTTTCCTTTTCCTAATGACAGCTTGTGTGGCGTATAGTTGTTGCAACAGCGATTATCATCCATAATTTTCAAGACAGGAAAGGACAGAGTTGGGATCACAAGGTATTAGGCAGTATATCAACAGATTCCACCACCAGGCCAGGGCCAATCATTTGCCATCATATCCCTTGACACTCGTATCCCCACTGCCCTCGACCTTACCACTAGCCACGGCAAGACTCTGCGCAAATGCACTTGTCAAGGCTGGCTGGTCTGTCAATATACTGATCAGGTCAAAACCCCGCGCCGCATAGTCCCTCGCCTGATCTCCGCCTCCACAATAGATGCCCACCTTCTTGCCCTCTGCATGCGCCGCGTCTTTGATGGATTCGATTGCATCCTTCAACTCTTGATGCATCTCCCCCATGATTGGCCTTCCAATATTGTTCCCCAGATCAAAGGGGCCAATGAGCAAACAGTCTACACCCGGTAAAGCAGCGATTTCTCTAACCTGGGCTAGTGCGGATGCAGTTTCGATTTGTACAATAGTCTGGAGTGAAGAGTTTGCATGTTGGAGATAGTATGTCAGCGGCTCATTGTTGAAGCATTGGACAGGCATTGGGGAGCCGAAACCACGAGTTCCTTCTGGAGGGAATTTGGCAGAGGAGACGAGGCGTTTTGCGTCGTCTAGGGTGTATATAAGGGGGACTACTATGCCGTGGGCGCCGGCGTCTAGGGCGCCTAGTTCAATGTCAATTCCGTAGGATCATGTGATTTGGAGCCTGAGGGAAGCTTGGAAGGTTGTGGACATGGAAAGAGAAGAGGTTTCTTTACGTTTGACCATCCAAGCCTCGTTTGCAGCAACACGCACAATGGGACTGACGCCTTCTTTGGCTATGGCGACGACGGCTTCATGCATGGCAGAGTCGGAGATGTTGCCGTGTTCGGTGTCGATGCAGATCCAGTCGACGCCTGAGCGGGCTATGGCTCGGGCGTGGTTTGTGCCGGGTAGCATCTTGAGAAGACATGATCAGTCCGAGTTGGTTTTGGAGCGCTAGAGTGGGGAGGCCTAGTAGATAGTAAAGAAGAAGGAACTTGTTACCTGCCATGCTCCGAAGCTCGGGCAGCTTTTTTGAAATGCATTGTACAACCGGCTCTTTTGTTGGAGAGTGTTCATGGTTTGAGGGTGGAGGATGAGAAGGTGGGTGGATGGGAAGACTGGAAAGCTGGGGGTGGAAGTGGTGGTACTCAAGGCTTCGGTCTACTGGCACGCCTCAGGGGAATGAATGTTCGGAAGTGAAGTGGCATTGTCGTCTGTTGATGAACGAATGGCGATGCAATACCCCTCATCCGTCTACTCTATGAGCTACCGTACGAGCTAACCCACACTGTAAGACTAGCTGCCGAGCAGATGCGTTCCTGGTGGCGGATTACCTTGTTGGGGTCTGCCGGCCATGTTGTAGGATTACTTTGCCTGTATGTACTGTAGTAGGATGCAGAGGGATGGAAGTAGTCGAAGGTAAAAAGACCGAGGTTTTGCCAGAGTGTTGTTGGGGGCCAAATACAAAACAAAACTACTCTAACGTTACTGAGTTCCAGGAAATAGGGTACCATACCGGTAGGTGGCGCATGAATTTTACCATTCAGGACCGCTCGGCTTCATCCATCTTTTGGAGTACTTCGTCTTCCGTGAAGCGATGCATGAGCTTCAAGGAGGAGAAAGATGTCGTCTCTGATACACCCGCCTTGTCGATGTGGATCTGTGTGGTCATTCAGGTACTCGGTCCAACAGGTACAAATGCGTGATGGCGTACCACAGGAGTGTCAAACTCGTACAAGTTCTTCCATTCCTCTTGGCCTGGGTCCATGACATTGATCTCCTTGTATTCAAGCGGCCTCTTTGCCTGCACACTTTGGACCACTGCTTTTGCGGTATCGCATAGTCCACAGGGACTCCGCGTGAAGAAGATGATGCGACAGTCGAGCAGGCGGGCTGTCGCACGAAACATGGCGGACAGGAAGATCTGGACCGTGTCTGTATGCTGATGGTACCGGTAGACGACCACGAGAATGGGCAAAAGACAGGCCAGTACCGGTAGACGACCACGAGAATGGGCAAAAGACAGGCCAGTACCGGTACCGTAGGCCAACGCAGGACAGACTGGTTGTATGAGGCTACAGTACGGGCAACCAACAGGACGGGGACGGAAGTGAATGAATGGCCATGACCGGCGCAGAAGCCAAAACATAAGCTTTCCTGTTAGTGTAGGCATGTAACGGTACTATTACCAGGGACCGTAGGCAAGTTACCACAGTCAATCCACCTGCGCTAGCGCCTCTGTGACGATTTGGTCTGGGGCGGGCGGCGGGTCCTTTCCAGAATATTCGGAACCTGCGAATCATCTCGAAGCAGGCAACAAACACCACAACACAAAGTCGCAACTTGCCCCTCCCTTGCCCAAGTGTTTATTTGGATAGTCAGCACACAGTAGATGCTCTAGAAAAAGACATGGCGAAGAAATGTGTTCACAAAGGTTGCGGCAAGACGTACGAAGACGAGGAGGAGACCTGCATCTATCATCCTGGCCCGCCTGTCTTCCATGAGGGGCAAAAGGGTAAGTGCAGCATCAGCCTCTTTCAGTACGAGATGTCTTTGGTTGCTTGGATGCGAGCAAGCCTGCGAGCAACTTGTTGACCTGTCTCTGTCATGTAGGCTGGAAATGCTGCAAACCCCGCGTTCTTACCTTTGACGAGTTCCTCGCCATCGAGCCCTGCACGACGGGCAAACACTCGGATGTGGACGAGACACCTGCGCCTGAGTCTTCCCAAAGCCCCAACATCCCCAATGGCACATCAGTCAACCTCGGCTCGCTCGAGGAGTCACTGCCTCCGCCCGCGCCCCGTCTACCGACCGCACAAGCCGCTATCCCGCGAACGGAGGCGCCCGCTCCATCGCCAGAATCCGAAGACGATGATCCCAGTATCGCACTGAAGGAGGGCATGACGTGCAGACGGCGTGGATGTGGTGCCACACACAAGGGCGGGGATCGCGAAGGAGAAAGCTGTGTACATCATCCGGGTGCGCCCATATTTCACGAAGGTAGCAAAGGCTGGAGCTGCTGCAAGAGGCGGGTACTGGAGTTTGACCAGTTCATGAATATCGAGGGTTGCAAGACAAAGGAGCGTCACTTGTTTGTTGGCAGTGGCAAGAAGAACAAGGAGGGTGAGGAGAAGGTGGATACTGTCCGGTGAGTCAAGTGCCCCTCAGGAAAAGACCCACTATCGCGTACAAAAGCGTTGCTGACCGAGATATAGGAATGATTTCTACCAGACCTCGACTTCCGTAGTCGCCTCCTTATTCCTCAAGAAGATTGACAAGGATACGGCAGTAATCGATTTCCAGCCTGCCCAAGTCAAGCTCGACCTACGGACGACCGACAGCAAGCGTTATCAGACCGAAATCCCCCTCTTCTCCACCATCAAGCCCGAGGAAAGCAAGTTTAGGATACTGGGCACAAAGCTCGAAATGACGTTAGTCAAGGCCGACGGTGCTAGCTGGCCAGTCTTGAGGAGCGATGATAAGCCCACTGGAGAGAGGATCCAGGTGGGTAGGGCAGGCCGGGCGTAGGCTGTGTGAAGAAAAGAAAAAGGATACCTACTTGATGAATGATGATCATTTGCGTGCTCATGGCATAATCTATCTGACTCTCACAGTCCATCGTACTGTTCATTGTATTTGATACGCCGGTGCTTCCGCAGAAAGCAAAGAGGGGTGGCTGATAAAGCATGACGCGCCATTTGAGGCTAGCATTAGGCCACTTACAATTACTAAACATGTCTGCAGACCAACCGTGGATTTCACGGCTTGATTATTGATATTCCACTGGCAATCCCCTCCATCAAACGTCTAACCAAGTGCCTTACCCTCCTGCTCTTTTAGAAATCACTTCCAGCACAGTACTCGAATCACACATCGCCAACACAATGGCCTCCAAGCTGATTGCCGTGGTTGCTGGTGTAGGCGCAGGTACAGGAGCGTCCGTCGTTCGCAAGTTTGCCAAAGCCTACCCTATCGTCCTTTTGGCCCGCAAACCCGAAAGCTTCGAGAGCCTAGCTGAAGAGATCAATTCTGGTGGAGGAAAAGCCATCGGCATTAGCACAGATGTGTCCGATGCCGCCAGCCTCAAAAACGCCGTCGATGCTATCAAGAAGGAGTTTGGAAACGAGGTCGGCGCCGCTGCTGCGATTTTCAATGCTTCTGGAGATGTTATGCGGGCGCCGTTCTTGGAGCTTGACCCGGATGTGTTCGCGCGAGGGTTGGGCGTGAGTGCGATGGGGGGTATTCTGTTTAGCCAGGCTGTATTACCAATGTTGCTCAAGGGAGCAGCGCAAGGGTCGCAGCATCCGCCCTCGTTGATTTTCACGGGTGCGACGGCAAGTGTCAAGAGCAATGCGCAGATGGCCAGCTTTTCGACTGGGAAATTTGCCTTGAGAGCATTGAGTCAATCGCTAGCCAAGGAGTTTGGGCCCCAAGGTGTGCATGTGGCACACGTGATAGTTGATGGTATCATTGATGTCCCACATACGAAGGAAATGTTCAAGCACTTGAAGCCAGAGGCCAAGTTGACTGCTGATGGGGTAAGTCTGATCCTGTTACAATATCTGCAAGTGCGAGAGTACGCTGGACTAACATGAGAGTGTAGATTGCAAACGACTATTGGTGGTTGCACACTCAACCAAAGACCAATCTCACATGGGAAATCGATCTCAGACCTGCAGTCGAGAAGTGGTAAAGTACCATGTTGTAACTACCAGATAGTCACGCGGAGACGACAAAGTGACAGTGATAGTCAGAATCTGATGACCATGATCAGTCAGAAAGAAGTTCAAATGCAGCGTTTGTGACCTTGATCGCGGTTCCACTGCCCTCTCGCAATGGTAACACAGAGGGAGGAATGCGACGTCTATCTTGAACTGTATACATTCCACGATTTCAATATTTCCCCGCATTCCAAACATCGTTGACTGGATAGCTCTTATGCTCCATCTTGTAAACATTTTGAGTTCCACTGGTCTAACACCAACGCCACCATGAAGCTCACCCTATCCCTACTGGCTGCTCTCTCATACACGTCCTGCTTCAGCAACGCCGAGTCTCCTAGAACCAACAGGAGAATTCATCACCGCCCCTATGATCCGACCTTTCAATCCTCAAAAACCAAATACAATCTCCACCATCTGCCCCTTGTACCCACCCGAGGCCAAGTCGATGCCCCGAGACTGCCCAAACGCAATAACCTTTCCGCTCCTCCGCAACCTCTCAGAATCCCATCCCATTCATCAACTCCAAACTTTCTTCCTCCTCCCTGGTCTCCATCTTCAAACCTTGACTCCCCCTACCATCTATCAGGTGTATCGCCCTACGACGACAGCGGCCGCTCAGAGGTTCTCGACAATGAACCCTCGATAGAAGCAACGCCGCCGTGGCGCACCTGTCCCGACTCCAACCTGGACTGCGCAAAATGTCCCCAAGATGAACGATGTCGGCACCAGGGCACGCCATGGTGGCAGGTTGATCCTACAATCTCGACGGATGATGGCGCATGGGTTGCAGAGGTGTGCCCGTTGACCACGTGTTCTTCTGCCCCAGGAGGATGTGGTGAAAACGCAAAGTGTGTACGAGACCATTGTGTCTGTGAGACAGGGTGGCAGGGAGCCGTAGGCAGTGTGAGGGGGTTCGAGGGGCTACAGGCAGTCACGGTATGGGTGGATGCCCAGGTTGATTGTGATGTCAAGTGCGATGGGTGGGGGTGCACAGAGGTACAGCAGGTGGGTGCTTGTTTTGGTATGCCATCTGTACTGCCGGTACAGACTGCTCCCGCAGCTGGAGTTGATGATGTGGAGACAGCGGAGACGGGAGGCGGTGCGATCAAAGTACCGGGAGCTGGAGCTGGAGCTGGAGAGCCGGGAGTGGTCAAAAGAGATCAGAACTATTGTCGCGCGTGAACTTTCGGCGTGCTGCTTTTTGACTTGCCTTCGAACATGAGCATATTTAGAAGCGTATAGAGGTATTTTTCAAAGGAACGAGTTTACTCTATTTGCCATGCGATCACCTATTAATGTACAACGATGTTACGTCGCAACTGTTCCAAAGTCTCCAGCGATTACACAGTGGTCGGTTTCACTGAAAATATTGCGAGAAGTGAGCTTCACTTTCACTTTCACTGGATTTGTGCCGTTTGTCTCTTAAGGGTCTGTATAAATAAGCCAACGCGCACACAAAATCTCAACCTTCTCACATCCTCCATTCAAGTTTATTATCAACATATCTACACTCAAGTAAGCTTGAACAGGCCCATTTTTCCTCAGCATGAAGCTCATGCACTTGACGAAGCATTCACCAGCAAGCACGCCTACCTAATCTCCATACTCTAGAAGTAAAATGTCGAAGACCGAGCCAGAAGAGTAAGACCCCGCAAATGCACGTTAAATCATTCACTTATTCCTGCTGTAGCGAGCATATCTCCGTCCCAAGCTTCAGCTTCCAGTTCCCACTCCCTGCGGCTACCAATAACTCCGCGCCGAAGACGGCTGCTCGACCTCAGCAAGGTCCTACCACCGAAACCATAACCACAAACACTGCTCAGAGCCAAGAGCTACGTACCAAAGCCGAAAAGGCTGGAGCCATTGCGCGGGAGCGCATGGCAGAGTTCCAAGGTCCCCACCGTCACTCCACTGGTCCGTCCACAGCCCGGGCTCCAGTTGAAAAAGATCTGACTCGTTCTTATGGCGGCTATACCTATCGCAAGTAACCGGTTGAAGACGCAACGCTAGTAGCAGTGACAAGGTTTCTTGAGATCATTGTGATAGCATAACGTTCCCGGGTGTAATATGTAGTCCTTGGGGACTCGCACGTGAATTGAGCAGTGCCAGACTACGCTTTCACATTCCCTACTAATAGCTATTTTGTCATGATAATAAGCGTGAACCCAAAGAATTGAGTGGCCTGTGATATACGGTACTACAGTCTACAGTGAAAGGAACAGTATGGGGCTGCTCACTTAATCGTTCGAGGGCCATGCGTACCGCCTGCGTTTGTTTTGCGGGCGTTTGCCGGAAGTGGGTCAAATGGGGGGTTCGCGATGGTGGAATATATAACTTGTTCCTCTTTTCAATATAGACTTTGTTCTCACACACTTTTGCTCTATACTCTCAACAATTATGCGATATTCTTCACTACCTACTCTTCACTACCCTTGACTACTCTATACGACCCTTGATTACCTCAACCTACAAAGACTGTGACGACTGTGACTACAAAGACTGTGCATCTGTTCCAGATAAGCGTGGCTAGATTTAGGTAGCGAGGACGCGCCTAGGGTATATTCGGAAGTTCTTCCCCTAGATCAAAGCATTATACTCAACTGCACTCGCCTTCTCCCCACTATTATAAGCCAAAGACTACTCCTATCATTATTCACTCTCCTCACCCTCACGAAATAGCTGAACTCATAGACAAGTCACACCCAACTTCACGATCCTTCTTCCGTTTCCTCGAGGTCCCCGTCGAAATCCGTCACAACGTCTACTGGCACACTACATTCAAGGTGCGTTCGACGAAGTAAAAACGGGGGCCCGGATGCGACCGAAAGCTTAAAAATGGAAGTATGGCTGAAATACGCAGGTACTGTATAAAGGGGTACACTTTGAATTTACTCAATGGATGGATTGGCTAGACGGGTTCATGAGAGCACGACCTTTGAGAGAATAACTGTTGAATGGATAGGCTGCCTGTATTTTGCTGGATAAAATCGCTGGAGATACGAGATTATTTGCGTATGGGTTGACGTATTTGGCTGATACATGGGCTTTTACGGTCATGCACGATAGTACCTTGAGAATTGAGTTTGACACGATGTCGAGAACATACGTAACAGCATCTCCTTCCTGGGAATTCCGCCTCTAGGCCACCTTGTTCGTGACCTCTACGAATTTCTGCCACTGCCGGTAAGCCTCTCCACTCTCAATGGCCCATTTCGCTCTCCTGACACCCTCCTTCCAACGTCCACCTCCTGGTCCCACTTCAGTGATGACCTTGCCATCGTCACCATGGCCCATATCGCTAGTATCTGCATCACAGATCCCACTCACCACGAACAAAGCCGCTGTATTGATGTAGACAAAGTGCAGAATTGGATCATCAGGCGGTACTTCGCCACTCAAGATCTTCATAAGAATGGATGCATTCTTCTCTGGAGATTGGCCAGGGCTGACCTCGCTCAGGGGATGTTCCGGAAGGCCAAAGTCGGCGGGCGTCACTGTGAAGTAATTGATGTCGACCGCGCCTGTCAATTTATTTTCTACCAAGCGCCAGCAGTGTGTGGGACCAGCGCATGATAACTCGTCCAGTTCCTCATCGCCACAGATGATCAGGCCTTTTCTACATCCGGATAGTCTCAATGACTCGGCAAAATCGGGACCGATCTCTTTTCTTGCAACGCCCAGCACTCTTGCTTCGATCAGGTCGTGCAAAGGATTAGCTAGAGGACCCAAAAGGTTGAAGATGGTGCGCCATCCTAACTGACGCCGGATCGAAGCAGCATGCCGGGCTCCAGGATGGAAAATTGGCGCGAATAGAAAGGCATAGTTCGTGCTTGAGTAGATTTCATGGATGGTTTTCGGTGCCACAGCGGTGATGACTGGTGGGGTCGGTGGCGTGCAGGATAACAAGTCTGCAGAGCCGGAGCGGGATGTTGATGCCTTGTTCCCGTGTTTTGCGATCATAAGCAGGGCACTTGCCAAGATGGATGAGGTTGTGCTGATGTTGAAGGTATTATGCGAGTCGCCGCCTGTGCCAACAATGTCACACTGGCAAAAATTAGCATTGAGTACTCCAATTTGAAGATCATATGCCAATTCCAAAAGGGAGTGCAGTTGGCATATGGAATCGATGTACAGAAGAAACAAGCACGTACTAAACCACCACCATAGGTCCCCTCCTTTCTGCCCCTTGTCTTGATCAACTCGTTGAGACTTTCGACATCCATTCCAGTAGAGAAGTCGCGCATGGCCTGTGAGCATTTTGCCAGAACATCTGCCTGTCTGTCACGATCCGTAAAGTGAAGACATGTTAGCAATGCTCCCGTCTGAACCTCTGATAGACTGTTGGTAAAGACTAGGGAAAGCGCTGCTGCGATCTCATCAGCATCTGGCTTAGTCGTTGGGGACTCGTGCCAAAGACGCTTCAGGAGAGGTGTAATGGAGACTTTGGGATCGCTTTCGAATGGATCTGTAGACATGGTGGGGGTTGCGATTCTCCTGCTTTGTTTCAGACCGGTTACCTAAGCATGCAAAGACGTTGCGGGGGTGCCCAAGTGAACAGGTGGGGGTGAGGGATGGTGCTGAAGCTTCAGCGAGGGCGCGCTCCTGGTACTTTTCTCTCTCTCTCTTTCTCTCGAATTGATCCACAAGATTGAAAGACGGACGCCAGACAGGAGGACTTGAAATGAAATCAGCGCTTGACTCACTCATCGGCCGCACGCGGGGATGCCAATTACGGTCCGCTATATACTACCGGTAAGGTACATTCAACAGACCCCTGCTTTCGGCTAGCCTCACGGGACACGGTGAATCGTTCTGCCGTTGCACGTGGCGCCCAGTAACAAATTTCGATGGCCAGTCGCGAGCTACATCGAACCCAAGGTCATGACGCGTCGGGGTTTTTTCTCTGACGGATCTTGTTCATCCATAGCCCGCGACATCGACGACATCAAATGGGGAAGAAGCGGACCCATGCCGAGACCAAGGATGGCTTTACCAAGTCGTCTCCGGATAAGACCCGGGCGGGTGTGAAGAACGACAAACGGGATCATCGCAAGAATGGCGACGCCCAGAAAATGCGAGCGCAGTTGGTAGGCCGCCGGTCGCAATAGCATCCCGACACTACGGCACAGACTAATGAGCGCAACAGCTTGTCAAGCCGCAGCCAGAGTGGCATACAGTCGAGCTGCCCCAGCTCCCCACGGTCGACAACCCCACACTACCGCCCCGTTATGTCATCGATGCGATTCACGAGTATGCCGATCAGCTCCTGGAGGCTGAGGCCACCGAGTATGCGTCGTCCCACATGACCAAAGACTCGTCGCACAAGTTCATGTCGACCGTCATGAGCTCTGGTACCATGGAAGACAAGGTTTCTGCGCTGACGCTCTTGGTGCAAGAGTCGCCCCTGCATACCCAGAAGGCCTTTGGTCAGCTCATGGGCCTGTCGCAGAAGAAGAGTAGAAACGCTGCAATGATGGCGCTGGCTGCGCTGAAGGATCTGTTGGGTCAAGGCGTTCTGCTCCCACCAGACCGAAAGCTGAAGGCTTTTGCGCGACAACCAGGACTACTGGCGGCACTCCAAGGAAAAGGGGCGCAATGGAAGTCGGGCGAAAAACTGCCAGGCGACATCCAGAAGATCCATTTAATCCTCTGGGCTTATGAGGACTGGCTGAAGAAGCAGTACTTTGAGATGCTTAAGATTCTGGAGTCCTGGTCGAACGATGAGGTCGAATATTCGCGAAACCGGGCTGTGACGTTTGTTTGGGAGTTGTTGAAGGAGAAACCCGAACAAGAAGAGAACTTGCTGCGGCTGCTCATCAACAAACTTGGTGACAAAGAGAAAAAGGTTGCATCCAGAGCATCGTACCTGTTGCTGCAGCTCCAGATCACCCATCCCCTCATGAAGAATGTCATCATCAGTTCCATTGAATCCGATCTTCTGTTTCGACCGAACCAGAGTGGTGTCGCCAAGTATTATGCCATTATTACCCTCAACCAGACTGTTCTCAGTGTAAAGGAGCCGGAGATCGCGAGTAAACTCATCGAGATCTACTTTAGCATATTCCTGGGCCTGCTCAAGAAGCAGAGGGAGCATGAGAAAGAAGAGAAACGCCTGAACAAGCATGGCCTGATACAAGGAGGAGGTGGCCAACCTGGAAAGATGGCGAAACAGAAAGCTGAAAAGGCCGCTACCATGGCTTTCAAAGTAGAGGACGAGTCTAGGGAAAAGCTCATTTCGGCTATCCTTACTGGTGTCAACCGCGCCTTTCCCTTTGCGAAGACAGACGATGCGAAGTTCGAGCAGCAGCTCAACATGATTTTCGAAGTCACACATTCGTCCAACTTCAACACCAGTATACAAGCCATGACCCTCATCCAGCAGATCTCTGCTACGAAACACTACTCAGCCGATCGCTTCTATCGCACGCTCTACGAATCTCTTTTGGACCCCCGTCTTATGACAACATCGAAGCATATAATGTTTTTGAACCTTCTCTATCGATCGATCAAAGCGGATACTAACATCAAGCGCGTCAAGGCCTTCGTCAAGCGCCTGCTTCAAATCATTCACATGCACGAACCTCCATTCATCTGCGGTGTCTTGTATCTGGTAAACGAACTGATCGCGACTTTTCCGACAATCAAGACTATGCTTTCGGTACCAGAGGATCATGCTGAGGATAGTGGCGACGAGCACTACGATGATGTCGACGACGATAAGGTGGGCCAGACGGAAACCGAAGAGAAGAAGTCGAAAAATTCCGTGTACGACTCTCGCAAACGAGATCCAGCTCATGCGCAAGCCGACCTATCTTGCCTTTGGGAGTTGTTGCCGCTGCAGGCGCATTACCACCCATCCGTCCATGTTTTGGCCTCCAAGATAGTCGATCAAACACCTATCAAGGAGAAGCCTGACCCCACCATCTACACCCTCATGAACTTCCTAGACAAGTTTTCTTTCCGCAACGCCAAAACCAAATCGCAGGCTGTTCATGGCTCCTCCATTATGCAGCCAATGTCCGGCACTTCGAAAGCCGCCTCTTATCTCATCACCGCTCGTGATGGCGACCGCACGCACGATCCGCTTAACTCAGAGCAGTTCTGGCGACAAAAGGTCGACGATGTGCGTGTTGACGAAGTATTCTTCCACACATACTTTGAGAAGGCAGGCAAGGCAAAGCAAGCGGACAAGAAGGCGAAGAAGAAGGATCGTAGAAAGGGCGACAGCGACGAAGACGACGAAAGTGGCGAAGACGAGATCTGGCAAGCGCTTGTCAAGAGTCGACCGGATGTGGAGGGCGATGGAGGTGATGACGATGACCTCAGTGACTTCGACATGGACGATATGAGCGATGACGAGACTGGCGGTATGGACGGTGGTGTCGAACTCAATCTCGGCAGCGACGATGATGCTGAGGAACCTGCTGAAGGTGCGGACGACGACGACTTTGAAAACTTCGATCTCGACGATGAGGACGGTTTTGTGGACTCTGACGCCGATGTGCCCGTCGACTTGGACATGAACGACGACACAGACGTGGACGAGGATAAGAAAGACAGGGACGGCAGAAAAGCCAAGAAGAGGAAACTCAAGAGCCTGCCTACCTTTGCTTCTGCTGAGGACTATGCTAAGCTCATTGGCGATGATGATAGCGAGTAGGCGTATTTGCTATCTGAATTGTTCCGATTGTAGATATCGCGCACTTTTGTCATGGCATGGCTGGAAGTTCACAACAAATGAAGTATACCCATGCGTAAATTCAACCACGTTGCCTTTCATGCCTGAGATTGTTGAAGCGGCGAGCATTTGCCGTGCCTGACATTTTGGGGGGCGACAAGGTGATCCTTTCGTCTCGCTCTCGTTGTACTATAGGGCAGTAATAAACGACCCAACAGATCATGCAGACTACCCTTCACTAAGAACCCTGGTCCAGTCAAACTTCCTCCACCCCTTCCCCCACCTCTCCGCCCGCCGATCCCCCTTCACCCACCTTCCCTGTCTCTTCACCACCTCGACTCCAACATCCATCATCCCACCAAGCACCTCCCTCGCAAACAAATCACCCTTGGGCCACGCCCCCCCATCCTCCACAATGTGCGCCATGCCCCCATCAAGCTCAAACCAAACATGAAAGTAGGGCATCTGGGTCGCCAGACTGCGGCGGAAGGCAGCTTTGCCCAATCCGTTGCGCGAAGCCTTGAGTGTGTCGATGATGGGCTTGTGTTGTGTCCAGTCGCCTGCAGCTTCAAGAATGGCCTCACGGAAATAGGCAGGCGCCATATCGCCGAGTTCAAAGGGGATAGGCACAGCGTTCATGGCTGCATGGCCTTTGCGTCCAGGGTGTGCTGCGTTCTCGTAGAAGATGACGTCGCGGCCTTGGTCGTGATACATGCGTGTTAGACATTTCATGAAATTGCGGACTTCCTCCCACTCGTCGTCGTCGCATTCGAGAAGGTTTGTGCGGTGCTGGATGGGCACTATGACCGCACCGCCATCGCTGATTTCTGGTTCAGTGGGGAGAGTGAGGAAGACGCGGGTTCCGAGGCTGATGATGGGGGCGATGGGTGGTTGAGGTGGGGATTTATCTTCGTGATGGCAGAGGGGACACGAGTCGAGGATGCGGTTTGTGCGTGTGTAGTCCTGGATGGCTGCGTTGCGAAGATTGACAGAGGACTTGGGGGCGCGAGAGGCGAGTTTGGAGGCGTTTTCGTCTAGGTACTCTAGGTCGTTCTGTTGCGTATTAGTGAGTGTTGGGATGTAATGCATTTGAGAATACTTGCATCAAACTTGGAATCCTTGGCGATCTTCTCAGCTAAAAGCATGCCTTCGCCTCCTGCTTGACCTTTGGTTCGGCGTTCCTGTCGTACCATGTCGTCGATGCTCATGTCTTCATTTTCTTTTACAAGACCACGCTCTGTGCCGCGCTTATTGGTGAGAGCTATGACTTCGCCTTGACGACCTCCTGCCAGCATACGATTGTCCATTGCATTCAGCACGACCACGTCACGATCCTTACTGCCCGCCGATCCTGCTAATACAGCATTGTATTCTGCTTCAAGTTGAGCAGCATTTGGCGCCTTCTTCATCTTCGCCTTCATCATTTGGGCCTTGAGTCTGTTCAATTCTGTCTGGCTGAGGGCGGGACCGATAGCCATTGGTTGCGGATCTGCAAAAACCTTGCCCTGTGGCAAATCTTCAGCTTCTTGTTGATCTCGAGCAGCGGCTCGATGTATGCCTGCTTGAAGCCTACGCTCTTCAAAGAGCTCGCCTGAGGGCTTTTCTTTCCCAACATAGTCTCTTCCATAGGTCTTCCGGCGGTCCAGTTCGATCTCTTCCTCACGTGCTTCATCAAAGTCGCGTAAATCGCCGTATTTCTCCATGGCCACTTCTTCGACGCTTCGTCCAGACTCTTCTGCATTTCGGTAGATGCCTTTGAGCTTTGTCATACGCCATTGTGCGCCTGAGTCGCCAAAAGTATAGCCAACTTCTCTCTGCGCTGGCTCCTGAGCGATGTCTTGTTGATCAACTTTGATATCTGCAAGGTGGTGATTGAGCTCGGCTTGGTGAATCTTGAGCGCGTGCTGCTTCTCCGCCGAGGCCTTGACATATGTAGTCTTTTCCTCTCTCTTCTTCCGCTGCACATAATCGATATCCATTGACGAAGGCGCTTGCATCCAATCATCGCGTTGCAGATCTGCGTCGGCAACGTGCTCGAGCTGTTGGTCGAGGATATCGTCGTCTGGCGGCGCATAGTCCTTTTTCTGCGGCTCGTCTTCGGCTGAGGATTCGTCTTCGTCGTAATGGCGCGACTTGCGCTTCCGCGTCAGACGGTCCTCGTCGTCGCCATCTGGCGACGCGCTTCGTCTGTCCTTGTGCTTGCGGCTCGATCGATCATGGCGGCTCCTATCGCCCTCGCTCTCCTTTTGCTTTCGATGCGCGCGCTCTTCGGAGGTTTCTCGATGATGTCGCGATCGCTTGTCTCTGTGCCGTTCTTGTCGATCCTCGTCGCGATGATGCCGTGAGGAACGATGTCTGTCGCGATGGTCACGGTCTTTACCCTGGTCATCGAATCAGTGCACAGTATTCCTATAGCATAGCCTGTTGCCGCGCATACTTTTGAGCGATGGTGCCTGTCGCGACTCCCGCTTCGGTCGCGCTTCTTTCTGTCGTCTGTCTTCTTGCTTTGCGCAAGCTCTTTCTCAAAGTCTTCCAATCCCATAGCTGCTGCGTTGACAGCTGTATTGACCTGACGATCAACCTCACCAAGCGCCACCGCCGTGTCGCTCAAGGAACTGTATTTTCGCGATTACCTGTGAAGTCTGCGATGTTTGGCTGTGGTAGGACCAAACTTGGGTCAAGAAGAGCTCGGCGGCCTGACATCACTGGCCTCACTGGCCGGGACGGGTGCTAACTGACTACCGGTAGCGCGCCTGTTTCCGGCCCGCCAAAGAATTTCTGGAATCTGGAACAACAGGAGGAACAGGCCGAGGGGTGGGCTTGCAATGTTGCATGCTCGCTCCACTTCGCACTGGCTCTCTTTCCACTCCTTCTGACTGCCTTCCTTCTCCATCCCACCAGAGTACTGTTTCAAACAAAAGCGTGCTCCAAAAGAGCACCCGGCAACTACACAACCCTCCCTCCCTCCCCTGGCTCGACACTGTGTAAGACACAATCACACCCTCCGCCATGTCCGCCGCCCAGGCCGCAGAGGGCTCCTCCGCGAGCGCCTCCAAACCTCCAGTTGCCATTGTCTGCGTAGGCATGGCCGGTAGCGGAAAGACAACCTTCATGCAACGCCTCGTGTCCCACCTCTACACTCACCCCGACCCAACCCAGAGCGAGCCGTCGGTGTCCAAGGTCGCTCCAACCCCACCGTACATCATCAACCTCGACCCCGCCGTCCACCATGTGCCCTTTACGCCAAACATCGATATCCGCGATAGTGTCAACTACAAGGAAGTAATGAAGCAATTCAACCTTGGACCCAACGGCGGGATCCTCACGAGCTTGAACCTGTTCAGCACCAAGATCGACCAGGTCATTGCGCTACTGGAGAAGCGGACACAGCCGCCGGCCCCCGTCCAGCAGCCCGAGCAGACAACCGTAGAGTTCATGACCAACAGTGGAAAGGAGAAACAGCCTGCACCGGTACAGCAACAGCAAGTCAAGCACATTCTGGTCGACACCCCAGGGCAGATTGAAGTCTTTGTGTGGTCAGCAAGTGGGGAGATTTTGCTATCCAGTTTGGCCAGCACATTCCCTACAGTCATTGCCTACATCATCGACACACCACGCACAACGAGCACCAGCACCTTCATGTCCAACATGCTGTATGCCTGCTCGATTCTCTACAAGACAAAGCTCCCTATGATCCTCGTCTTCAACAAAACGGACGCGCAGGATGCTCAATTTGCCAAGGAGTGGATGACTGATTTCGAAGCCTTTCAAGCGGCGCTGCGCAATGAAGAGGAAGGCGGTACGTTTGGCGGTGAAGGTGTGGGAGCTGGGAGCGGATACATGGGCAGCCTACTCAACAGCATGTCCCTTGTACTCGAGGAATTCTACAAGCATCTCAGCGTCGTCGGTGTCAGCGCAATGACAGGCGACGGCATGGACGAATTTTTCCGTGGTGTGAATGAAAAGGCAGAAGAATTCGAGCGCGACTACAAGCCCGAACTGGAGCGAAGAAGAGCGGAGCGGGAGCGGGAGAAGCAAGCGACCCGCCAACGGGAACTCGACAAATTGATGAAAGACATGAAAGTCGGCGGTGCAGGCAACAAGCCCACAACCCGGTCACGAAAGGACGACCCAGAGACTGTCAGTGACGCAGAAGACACGGGTGATGACCACCAGGATGAGGATCTAGACTATGAAGACGAACTTGACTCGGACGATCCCGAGCAAGGGCTCCAGCAGCGATACAGGGATACTATCCGCGATCACTCAACAAAAGCCCCAGACGAGGACATGAGTTTTGCGCGCTACGTTCAGGCTGCCAAATTCAACTGAAATCCCTTCTCTTGACCTCAGCTCTCCTGTATGCAAGGATACCCAACGTTGAGCAGGCAAGCAGGAAAAGCGATTACGGTAGGACCAAGGAGATTGACGAAAGACGATTGGCGAACGGCAGAGATTCGCGACGTCTGTAGCCAACCTCGCTTCCAGATTCCCGGTCAATTCTCAGTCGGGAAGAATTGGAAACACGAGTTGGATGTGCGATGGCCATGTTGTGCGCGGCCAGCAGTAATGAATACAAGTCGCGTGTTTGATGGGCTACAGCGCAAACTTGTAGTGTAATCATGGCCGCGGCCCGCATCGCAGCACAGCAGAGCACCGCACAGCGTAACGTGGATGGGCGGATTGGTATTGGTGTTTTGTCGACTCTGGCTCCTGCGTCCACGCCCACGTCTCCATTTCACACACCTCACTTTTTAAATTTATTCATTTGTTTCAAGCCATGCAGCCACATCAGCACACTCTCCAAGTCCTCTTCGCCCAGAACAGCAATCACAACACTAGACACTAGATACCCTCCACGCAATCCGATGCCCCAGCAGCCATCCCAAGAGTCAGCCCCCACCCCCCCCTCCCCAACGCCACACGTTTCAGCCAGACACACGGCAGCGGGAATCAGAATACGAATATCGGGAGTTTGGGACATGTGGCTTTGCTCCAACGCAGCCTCTGAGACAGGGCCCTGAACGGGCGTGAAGCAGACATGTACATGTACATGCAGCCATGCACGCATACATGGCTTCCACGGCATTTGCACTCAAGACACACATGCAGGGCAAGGGAGAAACGGTACCGAGGACGATAATGAAAGCCGGACAGGGAAGGAAAGTGGGAGGGGGAGGGAGCACAAGGAGGGGCGCGAAGCCCCTGTCCTGTCCTGCATCTGCATGTATGTAGAGCCACACGGCCATGTAGCGAGGCAAGAGGAGAAGGAAAAGAAGTGGCAAGATGCAGCTGTCAGTGTCAGGCCCGGTGCCGGTGTGACAAAAGGCGAGGGAAAAGTTTGGTACTGTGTGACCGTGTTGTCTGTGTTTGTGTGAGGGAGGTGGATGCATCTGCTATCCATGGTTAGTAGTGGTCCTGCCCACGCTTCGAATAGCCATGTTTGTGCCATGACTCTTCTGTCCAAAAGCAGCCTTTTCTTTTGTACATGCTCTCTGCTTTCCACGTTGATGTGTATGCGTACGAGTATGTAGGTAGTATGTATGCATGTATATATGTATGTATAGGTAACCCCCCCCCCCCAGCCCATGCCCGAGCCGAGATCATCCAACGCAGTCATCATAGTACTACTTTCATCCTACCCTGCCCTACCCTACCTTACCCTCTCCATATACCCATTTCCCACCCGAAAACAAGAAGCCCCCTTCCCCTTGCGCACTGCCGTCAGCATGTATGCATGCATGCATGCAGTGCATCTGGCTTCGCTTCTCCTCGTCTCCGGCATGCTTGTGTGTGTGGAGACTTGTGCTGTACAACGGCGTGTGTGTGTGTGTGTGTGTGTGCGTGGCCTCGAGTCTACATTACGTGCCATGTACATGTACATGTATGTATTTACATGCGTACATCCCAGCAAGGCAAAGTAGACCAAAAGCCGCAAAATCCCAATCCCCCATACCCACCATGCTCGAATGTCCGATGTCATAATTACCCATTTACTTCAGCGCAACGAGTGGGATGTCTGGATAGGCGTTCTTCCTGCCACGCACCATCACAATACAGTAGGTAACAAGCATGCAGATCCGCCAGGGCAGGGCTCACTTCGGGTCAGGTTGGGGGGGGATTCCTTATTATATATATTGTACTTTTATCTCTCTAGTGTTATTACTATAGAGTATTAAGTAACTAGGCGCTAGACGCCCCTAACTTTTTATAATAAGCAACCCCTAAGAGTGTATCCTAAATAGTCTACTTCTAATAATATTTCTTTAGCTAGGTCCTATTATATTAATACTAGTCCTAATATAAACACCTTTTTTAGTATATTAAATATACTTTATTCTTTCTCTCCCTATTAGAATAGGGTATTCTTCCTAGTTAGTTAGTTTAAAGGCGCTACTACTTTAGAAAACTTTATAATAAAATTATAGTAGAAGTTAGTAAAACCTAGAATACTCCTTACCTCTCTTATATTCCTAGGGGATTCCTATTCCTATATTGCCCTAAGCTTTTTAGGGTTAGGTCTAAATAATTTACCTGCCTTAATAATATAGCCCAAGGAAAGTACCGCCCTTAAACTAAAAATATATTTCTCTAAGTCAAGGGGGAGTCCTACTTCTTTTAAATAACGAAGTACACCCCTATGAAATTTTCAAATTAGTAAACCCACTCCCCTCCTAAATAAAATTAAGAAAATTATTAAGAGAAGGCGTTTAGAAGAAAACTAAGAAAACCTCAAAAG